GGCAATGGAGACCAATGCTCTGATACCACTTGTAGGACCTTGAGAAGAGGTGTCTAGAGAGGGGGTGATTAGACACTAAGTACCAAAGTTGCAGTTTTTAACCCTTTTTAAGTTTAAGTGGAGTTTAGGCACAAATTTAACATTCACAACACATAGCAAGTAAACATGCAAAGAGTATATGAGCAGCGGAAAGTAAAGCATGCAACTTGCAAGAATGTAAAGGGAAGGGTTTTGAAGGATTCAAACGCAATTAGAGACACGGGTGTTTTTGGCGTGGTTCCGATAGGTGGTGCTATCGTACATCCACATTGATGGAGACTTCAACCCACGAAGGGTAATGGTTGCGCGAGTCCACGGAGGGCTCCACCCAAGAAGGGTCCACGAAGAAGCAACCTTGTCTATCCCACCATGGCCGTCGCCCACGAAGGACTTGCCTCACTAGCGGTAGATCTTCACGAAGTAGGCGATCTCCTTGCCCTTACAAACTCCTTGGTTCAACTCCACAATATTGTCGGAGGCTCCCAAGTGACACCTAGCCAATCTAGGAGACACCACTCTCCAAAAAGTAACAAATGGTGCGTTGATGATGAACTCCTTGCTCTTGTGCTTCAAATGATAGTCTCCCCAACACTCAACTCTCTCTCATAGGATTTGGATCTGGTGGAAAGAGGATTTGAGTGGAAAGCAACTTGGGGAAGGCTAGAGATCAAGATTCATATGGTAGGAATGGAATATCTTGGCCTCAACACATGAGTAGGTAGTTCTCTCTCAGAAATGGTAAGTTGGAAGTGTAGGTTTAGTCTGATGGCTCTCTCCACGAATGAAGAGGAGGTGGAGGGGTATATATAGCCTTCACACAAAATCTAACTGTTACACACAATTTACCAATCTCGGTGGGACCGAATCAACAAACTCGGTGAGACCGATTTAGTAAATCTAGTGACCGTTAGGATTTTCGGTGGGACCGAAATGCAACTCGGTAGGACCGATATGGTTAGGATTAGAGCATAATGTAATCTCGGTGAGACCGATTACACAAACTCGGTAAGACCGATTTTGGTAATTAGCTAACCAGAGAGTTGGTCAGGCAAACTCGGTGGGACCGATTACTCAAACTCGGTGGGACCGATTTTAGTAATAAGTTAACCAGAGAGTTTGCATTGTAATCTCGGTAGCACTGATTGCTCAAACTCGGTAAGACCGATTTTGATAATGGACATACACAGAGAGATTACAATCCCATATCGGTGAGACCGAGATCCCTATCGGTCAGACCGATTTGCCTAGGGTTTGTGGCAGTGGCTATGACATCTGAACTCGGTGGCGCCAGATAGAAAGAATCGGTGTGGCCAATTTTGGCTTTGGGTTTAGGTCATTTGTGGATGTGAGAAAGTAGCTGAGGGTTTTGGAGCATATCACTAAGCACATGAAGCAAGAGGCTCATTAAGCAACACCTCATCCCTCCTTGATAGTATTGGCTTTTCCTATAGACTCAATGTGATCTTGGATCACTAAAATGTAAAATGAAGAGTCTTGAGCTTGAAGCTTGAGCCAATCCTTTGTCCTTAGCATCTTGAAGGAGTTCCCACATCCTTTAGTCCATGCCACTCTATTGTTGAACTTATCTGAAACATACTAGATAAAAGTGTTAGTCCAACAAGAGATATGTTGACATTAATTATCAAAACCACCTAGGGAGCACTTGTGCTTTCAAACATTTATATTATCATTGCTCCTGCTAGCAACTTGAGCCTTCACGTCGTATTATTGCTCCAACTTATTCGGAAGCGCAATCAATAACCGGCCAAGAATGAACGTCATCCCCATATTTTGGTTCCTTCATTGCATTGAGACAAATTATTAGAACAAACAACTAATTAACCTAGGCATTGTGAATTCTCACCATCCAAAAAACAAGTTTGAGAGATAAAACAATGACTGAGTGAAATCTGTGGCATGTGCTTCCTTTAGCATTGTCATTAAAATAGAACATGGTCCCACTAAAAATCCATTGGCTCTAGCGTTTTCCCTTCTTCCTCACCAGAACATGAACAAGAAAGCACAAGCATCAATGCTCACAAATCTGGACATGTAGGGCAGGCTGCCAGGGAGCGCCGGAGGCATGGCAGCGGCATGGTCGGCCGCTTGCTGGTAGCACCGGAGAAGACGTGGCAGTGGTCGTGCTTGCTAGCATGGCAGGCAACCAAGAGGCAAGGGCTCGAACGAACAGATCGGCGGAAGAGCTGCCTCGCATGGCCTCCACCTCCGCCACCTGTCCAGCCTGTCAGGCCACGATCAAGCCACCTCCAGTATCTCCCTGCCTGAAGCCGCTGTCTGCACTACCACCTCCCACATCAATCGCTGGAGATAGCGATCTCTTGCCTCTCAATGTCAAGAAGAATTAGTAGGCTGATTAATTAGGCGGTTCTTCACATAAGAAGGTGTTGCCTATTAAGTACAGATATCTCACAGGACCTTGATACTCATAACTCACAAATCAAATTACCCTTAATTTGGTGTGTTTCCCAATCAGAAACCCATAATAAAATAGGAAAAGCTCTACACCAACAGACAAAACATTGTGATATGGGACAAAATTCTAGCTTACCCTGCAACCAATCAACCAATCACAAAAAAGAAGAAGACAAAAGAAAGAAAAGGATCCTCACCTCATAGTCGCAATCGACCAACTACAACACCTCCATCTTTCTAGTCAGTTGGTAGTTGGCTCCCTCCAACGCCTCAGACGCGCTGAATGAGCAGGCAAGAACCCTACAAAATCAACAAGTTCAGGACGGGGCAAAACGACAAAAGAATGAGAGGAATCACCACACTTCTACAACTCGCCGCCTTGAGCTAGGGCCTCCGTCAGAACCTCGATGCCATCCCCTTCCTCCCCTCCTCAGAAACAATCATGGCGGCCTGGTGGAACGTGAAGACGAGAAGGTTTGGGGGAGAAGCGGATCTGAGAAGGACACCTTGTTCGGTGGCCGACGCCAGAGGAGCAGGGATGGGCGGCGGCGGCGGTGCCAACCCTACCTACGCGGTGGGGTTTGCTTCATGAGGAAGGGAGACGAGCAGAACGTGTCCAGGTAACGAGCGCCCTTTTTTTTCTTTCTCCCAGCGCCCTTTTCTTTTTTTTCCTTTTCTCCCATCGACATAGTGGCCCTGATGACCTGTCTATCGTGAGGGAGCGCCATTGTGGCAACTGTTAATGGGTTTAATACCATAGACATGAGGTTGCAAGTTCAATTCCGCACACCAACAACTTCTGTTTTTGCACGGTGGGCCAAAAAAATAGGTGTCCTGTTCACTTTCGAGTGGACTTTGACTATTTATTTTTTCCTTTGGAAAACCAAGACGTAGATTAAAAAGATTGAGTGACTCGAAAAATTAGAAGGAAGCGTATTACGACACGGAAGAAGCGTATTATGACGGTGAGCGGGATGAAGCAATCCATGCTTTATTATTAGGTGAAACTGTTGGTACCTGGCAAAATACATCTAATATGTGTGACTGTAATATAATGATTGGGATCCCGAGGCAATTGAATGGATGAGATATCAGTACGCATAGTCGCCTTGTGCACCTAGGCATTTTCGTAGTCCTCGTTAACTATTTTAGAGCACATGCAGTTAAGCCACATTATCGTCTCAATAAACTACAAATTAATGACATGAATGCATCTGTCCTTTATACCAATTTTTTTCTCCCATTTGCTCCCTGCTAGTAGTTAACTGAGTGCATATATTATGTGGTAAGTGATATACTATATTCCCCACAAAAAATAATAATATGCTATATTTATTAATTTAAAAATATAATCAAATATCCCTCCATCTCCAATTGCTTGTCTAGACAGTCTATGCGACTAACCACAATGAGAGTAACATATGTAGTAACATCACACATATCTAGTAGCATGCAATAAATAAAGAAAGAGATGAAAGTGGTACTCCCTCCTTCCATCTATATAGGGCCTAATGCGTTTTTCGAAGCTAACTTTGACCAAATGTTAGAGCAATAATATATGACATGCAACTTACACAAAGCATACCGTCAAATTCGTACGTGAAAGGAGCTTCCAATGATATAATTTTCACATTATACATCTCATGTATTATTAATCTTATCAATAGTCAAAGGCGGTCTTAAAAAACGTATTAGACCCTATATAGATAGAAGGAGGGAGCTAGTTACTATACTAGTATGAGTAACATCACATATATTAAGACAAGATGTGTCTATAACCTAATAAATGAAATGTTGTATGTTACCACACATACACATATGTTAGACTAGCCACAATGGGAGTAACTTCGGTAGTAACATCGAGTCCAACTCAGCAAATTTGCTTATGTGGCAATGAGTTAATGAGGAGAGATGTAGTACTAGTAACTTAGCTAGTTACTGTAACATCACATGTTCCAATGCAATATGAGTCTATAACCTAATAAATGAAGCTTTGCATATTACCACACTTAGGCTAGTCACAGTGGGAGTAACTTAGATAGTAACATAACACATCCCAAGCCATATATGCTTATGTGGCATGGAGTTAATGATGAGAGATGTGCTTGTGGTAACATATATGTTACCGTAACATAACGCATCCCAATGCAAAATGAGTCTACAACATAATAAATGAAGGCTTGCAGGACACTATACTTATGTTACTACCCACTATAATGATAGTAACATAAGCAGTAGTTTCTGCTTGCCCATAGGAGCTGCGGCCGAAAAGTGCTGGCCAGCTTGCATCCCAGTCATCCGTTTTCTCGCCAGTAGATCCCCTTCGTCCATCCACTGGCGCTTCTTCCAATTCCCCTCTTCCTTCCAATCCCACCCGCCTCGAGTCGCCCGCTCGAGATCCGCCCCGCCGTACTGCGACATGCTGACGCGGGGCCGCCGCTCGTCTTCCGACTCTCCTCGTCCTGGCCGCGATTGAGTCAGGCAGACCAGCGCCGACAAACGAGCGGATCCGAGGGAGTCCGACGAGGATGGAGGCGGTGGGCGGCGCCGCGGAGGAGCGGTGGGCGTCGCTTTGCAACTGTGTGGTCAACTTCCTGCTGGAGGAGAAGTACCACCTCACGGCGCTCGAGCTGCTACAGGAGCTGCAGGAGGACGGCCGCCACGCGCAGGCGCTCCGCCTCCGCTCATTCTTCTCCGACCCCGCCTTCTTCCCCCCCGACCTGGTCGCTCGCGCCTCCTCCTCACCGCCGGGTACCACCATTTGCCCGTTCCTGTTCTGTCCGAGCTCCCGGTTCTTTTCCCCACCCGACGGAAGATCACACAGTGTGTCTCTGACTCGCGTGCCTCCGCTGCTCGCTGGCTGGATCTCGCGGGTGTTTTGTAGTAATTGCGACCTTGCCTTCTCTGATAGGCCCCCCTTCTCTATGATCGGGTTTGAGATGAACTTCCTTGTTCTTGCGCGGTGTTAAATTTATCCTGTAGCTCTGTTATGCAATGTACCTCCGCAATCAATTGGCGTTCTATAGTATCTGCAGTGGCGTATTATATAGTAGTACCAATAAACTTTTAAGTGAAAAAGAAACTATAGAACAAAACATACAGTACATCGGTAATTTTTTGAGATGGTGGAAGTAAAGTGCCCGCTTTTTCTCTCACCTTCATGCCTTGATACTGACATGTCACTTGTGTTGAACAACAACACATGTATTGGGTTAGATCTCGTTACACCCAGACGTTACTTCTGTATGTGTCACAATAAGGTCTGAGGAATGCGATGGATGAGTAAAGTGAAGTAGTTACTTGTCTAGACTCTTAGTGTAATATAATATTTCCTCTGGTACCAAATGTTAGTCCCTTCAGAATCTGTGCCAGGAAAAACATTTTCACGTTTGACTACCATTATAGAACAATTACCAACATCGGCAGCATCAAATTAGGATCCATCATAAAAATATACTTTTATCATATGTAGACAGTTTACTCACCTTTATGTGAAACAATGTATTTGTAGAAATTGATGGTCAAAATATCACCTTTGAGATTGTCTCAGTGTCTGAAAGGATTTACATTGGATTCAGAGGGAATCCAGTTTAATCCGTTGGCTCATTTTTTGTGATACTTATCCAGGCACATATAATTGCAAGATACCAGCTGTATTAGCAGGTCTGTGTGATGAATCATGTCTGTTCTTTTTTACAGGTGCTGATCCACAGAGTTTGCTAGAAGAGAAAATTGCAGCAGAAGAGAAGTTGGCACTCACTGAGTATGATCTCCGACTAGCCAAGGAAGACCTTACATGCTTGAAGCTTGAGTTGCAAAAGCAACAAGAATCATCTCCTGATAATACAATTGGTTTGTCTCTTTGGAAATGATAGATTTGCTTGCTGTTGCTTTTGATGTTGTAGCATTTATCGGTCTCCATGATGCCACATTGCGTGTGTCGTCAACTGGAGATATCTATGAATTTATATAAGAACGTGATAATGCTATAAAGAGATGAAAAAAATATCCTAGTGATGGCAGGTTATTCAAGATTCCAAGAAAGCACAAACATCTTTAATTCCTTGTTGGATGAAAACTATAATTTAGATAAAATGAGAACAATTACATACAATGAAAATAAAAGGCAGATCTTAATATATGAAACTCATGCTTTTGAGTATTCAAGAAAAAAAAAGGCAGATCTGCAAAACTTAATAAGCATTCCGCCTGGGCTGTACTGGAGGCGTCCCTAGGAGCTTTGATAATACAGATTTTGCTAAACTGGAATAATTGATTATGTGTTGTCTTTGTTCAATGTCCACACAACCTCGCTTGAGACCTGTTGATTTGGTTAAACGAAAAATGTAACACTTTCTTCTTGAAGAGCAGGTAATCTGCTGGTGCCAGTGACTGGTCAGATTGTATTGGCATCATCTATTGCATTTTGGCTATTCCAAAGTGAGCCATTGTATTCGCTAGGAACTGTTGTAACATACATATAGAATAAAGAAGGGAAAGTCCTAGTGATAGCGTGCATCAAACCCATATCTATTACTCCCTCCGTTCCTTATTATAGTGCGCATAGACTGTGGCTCTTATACCAACGAATGTGCTGGCCATTGTACTTTGGACGAGAAAGCCCAGCCTTTACCGCATGTGACCCACGACCCCATGTGCATGCTGCTGCGGGGGTAACTCCTCCAGCGATTTGAGTGGAGGTTAGTTTGGTCTAAAATTGCAAACGCGCATTACAATCTGGAATTTTAGCAAAAAAGTTATACGCACTATAATAAGGAACGGAGGGAGTATGAGATATATGACTAAAACATAGAACCAATTCTCACCTCTTGATGTGACATGGGCATTGGACCAGGACATATACTTGCTTCAAAGTGCACAGTTTGACTTTTGCTAGTAACCATGTGCTGGTAAATGTATACAGGCTTGGCTACTGGTTTCCTGTCAAAATCCTTGCATGGTGTTCCACCAATTAGATAGCTTATATTCACTCATTTCATTTTCGTTTATTATTTGAACTCCATGAGAAGGTAGATTATTTCCGTGACATATAAGCTTTGGTGGTTTCACGTTTCACTTTGATGCTGTAGAGCAAACAATTTAACTCCTTTTGGACTATGTAATAGTACTGCTGACAGGGCCTCTTTCAGATGCTTCTGCACATGAAGGATTCAACCAACAGGACCAACGAGATGTCAAAATTTCAGCATTAGGCCCTCTGAAAGATAATGAACGGAAAGATCTGAACTGTGCTGTAAAGGAATACCTGCTTTTGGCTGGGTATCGACTTGCAGCCATGACTTTCATTGAGGAGGTCTGCATTATCTGTGTCTCAGCGTTTATCTTCATGCTGTAACTTCGTCAGTTTTTAATTTGTGATTTCAGTTATTTTTAAAATTCATGGAGAATGGTATTTAATGCTACACAACTACTTATGATCTATTTGTCATGGCAAGGTTGATGATGCTAGAAACTGTCATAATGCTTATTAGCTTGCTAGATCATTTGTTGCTATTAGTGATCTTTAAGTGAGAGAATGAGAGATTCTTCATTGCTACCCAAACAGGGAAAACAGAAAATTTTAAAGTATATATGAATGATGTCACTTATTGTTAGAAATTAACTATAAGTGGAAACTGGTGCAAATCCACTGGAGTTGCATTTGCATGCTGCCATTACATGTAGTCAATGCACTTTAGACGAGCATATTTCATTGGATTTCTTATAATCTATTAATCTTAGAAGTTATCCATGCAAAGTAAATATTTACTTTCTCTTAGATGATCATATCCTTTTCCTATCTTCTTTACTCTGGAATGTAAAATCTGTTTATGATTTGCTCAGTCATCATTTGCAGGTTCTTGATCAGGATCTTGATGTTTGGACTAACAGTTCAGCTTGTGTGCCTGATGCCCTTCGTCGTTATTACTACCAGTATCTTTCATCTACCACTGAGGCGGCTGAGGTAATCATGTATATCAAGTTGCTAAGTAACCTTATAAAATGTTGCTAATCTTGTACATGTGTAATGCACGTGGCAACACCTGTCTATTTTCTCTGAAGGAAGTCACCATCAAGAAAGTTGTTCTGAGATTCAATTTTTCACATTAGTAATCTAAGGCAACACCTGTCTATTAGAGCAT